TTTTGATAGAGTATAGAGTTAAATGATAGTTTCTACACTTGGGTCAATGTTAAATTTTACACTTATTGAAACTGAATCTAAATGTGAATGGAATTCATTGATGGGATTTAATTAAAATGCCTTTAGGTGCAGATTCTAGGGATGGATCAAATTTAGGAATTCAGAAAATGTTAATCTAGAGTATTTGGAGTATATTTTATATAACTAGGTCAACATTGTGGTAAAGTGAAAATAGAGTGAATGCTGGTAATCCTCATTCACCTCTATGGAATTGAAACAAACATTGCAGATTGATTGATGTGATGTTGCCAATTACACCCATTGAAGGGGCGGTACATCTAATAAAGCCGTGGCCTTCATCGCAGTATGTGGTTTTGTTATCTTTAATAAATAATAACAGAAGAGATATCCGTATCTGATATATATGATAATAATAGAGATCTCGGTATCTGATATATATAAAAGAAGAGGTCTCCGTATCAGATAGATATATATATAAAAAAAAGAGATCTCCGTATCTGATACATATAAAAGAAAAGATCTCCGTATCTGATATATATCTAATAGAAAATATCTCCGTATCTGATATATATTATATAATAGAAAATATTTCCGTATCTGATACATATAATAGTAGAGATCTTCGTATTTGATGTATATAAGAGAATAAATCTCGGTATCTGAGATATATAATAGAAGAGATATCGGTATCTGATATATATGTTTGTAAGAAGAGTTCTCCATATCTGATGTATATGTATGTTAGGATAGATCGCCGTATCTGATGTATATAATAGAATAGATCTCCGTATCATATATATTTTATAAAAGACATCTCTGTATCTGATATATATTAAAAAAGATATTTCGGTATCTGATATATATGTATGGAAGAAGATCTCCGTATCTGATATATATAATAGAAGATATTTCGGTATCTGATATATATATAATAGAAGAGATCTCGGTATCTGATATTTATGTACGTAAGAAGAGGTCTCTGTATCTGATATATGTAATAGAAGATATATCGGTATCTGATATATATAAAAGAAGAGATCTCTGTATCTTATATATATATCATAGAAAAGATATCGGTATCTGATGTACATAATAGAAGAGAACTACGTATCTGATGTATATAATAGTAGAGATCTCTGTATCTGATATATATATAATAGAAGATATATCGGTATCTGATGTATATAACAAAACAGATATCTGTATCTTATATATATATCATAGAAAAGATATCGGTATCTGATGTACATATAACAAAAAATGATGTCCTTATCTGATATAATTAATAGAAGAGATATTGGTATCTGATATATATAATAGAAGATATTTCGGTATCTGATATATATAAAAGAAGAGATCTCGGTATCTGATATTTATGTATGTAAGAAAAGATATCTGTATCTGATATATTTAATAGAAGATATATCGGTATCTGATATATATAATAGAAGAGATCTCTGTATCTGATATATATAATAGAAGATATATCGGTATCTGATATATATAATAGAAGAGATCTCGGTATCTGATATTTATGTATGTAAGAAGAGATCTCTGTATCTGATATATATAAAAGAAGAGATCTCTGTATCTGATATATATAATAGAAGAGATCTCTGTATCTGATATATATAATAGAAGAGATCTCGGTATCTGATATATATAATAGAAGAGATATTGGTATCTGATATATATAAAAGAAGCGATCTCGGTATCTGATATATATAATAGAAGATATATCGGTATCTGATATATATAATAGAAGAGATCTTGGTATCTGATATATATGTATGTAAGAAGAGATCTCTGTATCTGATATATATAATAGAAGAGATCTCGGTATCTGATTTATATAATAGAAGAGATCTTCGTTTCTCTTTCCATTGACAGAGATTTCTCCCACACCTGACAGATTTATCTCCCGTTTTGCCGGTGCTAGATTTATCTGTCTCCGCCCTAGGGTTGAGACGGGGGGATTCCCCTATTCATAACAATGACATGACGTCACTTCAACAATACAATGACGTCACGTCAACAATCCATCAACAAATTGCCTGTATGTGTTTTGGGTCCATGTTTACCTTTATTTCACATTAAAATACTGTTAGATATGGGAGAAAAATAATCAATCGCTACTGGTTGTGTAAGATAGAGAAATCTCAACCC